CTTATAGGGCTTAAGCTTACTTAACTATTAAGTCTAATAGTGTTAAGTATATAAGAGAGTAAGTAGTACTTAGTAGTCTACTTAAGTAGTTCCCTTAGAGGAATAGTATACTACTAGTAGTCCTTAGGCTATAGGTAGTATATATATTATTTACCTTAATAGTAAAGTTATTAATATACTTTATAAGATAAGTAAAAGGCTTATACTATCTAGGCCTATATAGGCTAAAACCTTAGTAGGTCTAGGCTATATAAGTAGTTACTTATGCTAGCTAGGAATTAACTTAGTATAGAGTATAAGTGTTATTAAGGATAAACTAGTAGTCTACTTTTCTTAGTAGGATCTACTAGTAGGCTAATATAAAAGCCTAGTAGGCTTATAATTTCTAGTCCTTTGCTTTTAGTAATTACTATAATATTACTATACTTTTTATTTACTTTAGTAATATACTATCTAGTAAGATATTTTTACTTTAAGTAAAGGCCTTACCTATTATAATATCTTTATTTAAGTTAGTTTATTAAGGAGGGATTTTTTAAAGGGTATTTAGTATTTACTTAGTTATATATTTTTTTAGTATAACTAGGTTTTTAATAACTAAGAGATTTATAAGTTAGTATAAAATAGTAAAATATTTATAGCTTTTATATAAAGCTATATATATAGGTCTAAATACTCTCTTATATTCTTAATAATTCTTTTTACTATCTAGATATTTAATTTTATTTAATATAGATTAACTATATTACTACTATCTAGTTTAAACCTTTTTATTAGTTTATTATCCTATAGAATAGCCTATTACTATTAAATTCTATAAATATAAAGGTATATATATTATTATAAAGGCTTTATAGTAAAGAACAAGTAACTTTATAGTTTAGATTTTACTAAAGCTATATATATATATACTATATATTAGTAATTTAGCCTAGTTATACTAGCCTTAGTATACTATTTCTATAAGCTAGTTCTTATTAAAGTAAAGGGGTATCTTTACTATATCCTAGTAAAAAAAAATTTTAAAGGTATAGATTAAGGTAGTTATACTACTACTTAATATAGCTTTCTTACTAGCTATTATAGATCTAACAAGAGAAGTAAGGCTATAATAAGTAATATAAAGTAATATAGTATAAAGGTAAAGTGTAATAGTAAAGTAGTAAAACAAGGTAAATAATAATAAAAAGCTAAATAAATAATATAAGATAAGAGCTAGATATAAGTGTAGGTTATCTATTAAGGTTACCTTTCCTTATAGGAGGAAATAGGTAATAGGATATATACCCCTAGGTATATACCTAGATATATACTAATAAGGTAATCTTATATTCTACTTATTTATCTACTATATAAGGTATTTATCTTATAATAAAAACTATTATATAGCTTTACTAAAGTAAGTACTTATTAGTAAGTAATATATAACTACTACTACTAAAAAAAGCTTAATATAGTTACTACTTTATATAACCTATACTTACTTTTTTATTTATAAAGAACCTTAACTTTATAATAATTAAGATATAAATAGATAATATAATTAGCCTAACTAATATTAATTTCTTTAACTATAAGGATAATAAGCTTACTAAAGTAAAGCTTTTTATAAAAAAAAAGTTTTACTTATAAAGAATAAACCTTTAGTATTTAATAAAAAGATTATTTTATTAATTTTAGCTAAAAACACCTTTATTATACTTTACTAAAAGGGCTAAGGCGTAAAGCTAAGACTTATTAATAAGAAATTACCTATAGCCTAGTAAAACTATATCTAGTAGTACACTTAAGGAGTATATATTACTTTTATTTACTAGCCTAAAGTATACTTTAACTTATTTACTATAGCCTAGTATAAAAAGCCTAATAGTAAAGCTATTTAGTAACTTAACTAAAGAATTTAGTAATAAATAAATATACTTAACTATAGCTTTACCTTTATTCTCTTTAACTTACTTAATATAAAGCTCTTTATATTTATTAATAAATCTTTTACTAATAATTATAACTTAACTTTATAGTTAAGATTTATTATTTTTTTTACTAATAAAAAAGTTAATAATAAGTAAAGTAAGTTTACTTTTTATAGTAATATCTTTTATTTTTTATTAACTAAATCTAAATAAGTAATATAAAGTATTCTTATATTAAAAGTTTATAGTATAGTTATAAGTATTAATATAGTATATACTTTTTTTATAACTATTATAATAGTAGTAAATAAGCTTAGTAACTTATTAATCTTTACTATTACTTATACTAACTTATACTTACTATATAAGTGCCTAGTAAAGTTAAGTACTACTTATAAAAAGTACTTAATAATTAATATTATAGTACTATAATAATTATATAAGTAATATAAGCTCTTTAAGGTATAATAGATCTATAGTAATAATAACTTTACTAATAGGTTTATAAAGTCCTCTTTAAACTAAGTACTTAAGAGTCTTATCTTTTATAATAAAGTAAAAATATAAATAAAAGAATAAGTTATATAAATATAATAAAAAATAATAAAAATAATAAAATATAAGATAATAAGTACTTAAAAAAGAAAATAGCTTATATAAACTATATAGATTAATAGTAGTTAAATCTATTTAATATAAGTATATACTTTTAATAGCTATAGCTAAAAAGAAATATACCTAAATAAGATAGTATAAGCTTACTTTTACTAAGTAAATAAATAAATAAATTTATAGTAGTATATAACTATAAAAAGTATAATACTTTTGCTTTTTTTATTTTTATTATATTTTTAGGCTTTTTAGGAAGAATAAGAGCACTAGTAACTTTTACTATATAAGAAAGTTACTAGTGTTAGTATATAGGTAATATAGCTAGAGGCAGTAGGTTATATAATACACTGCCTACTAGTAGAATCCTTTACCCTTGCCTATACGCAAGGGTGCTACTACACTTGTGCTCCTACTTTACCTTGTTAACTAGTCAACTATTAATAACTACAAATTGACTACCTTTTCCTAACCTTCGTGATATCACGAGATACAGGATCCCCATCAATTAACCAGTGAAAAACCAACATTAACTTTTGTGCTGCATGTACAAGTTGTTGGAGTAACCAATCACTGTCGCGTATGGATATTACACTGTATTTCTTCTGACTGGACAACGTTCATGAACGGCGGTCATGTCTCGCTGACGCAAAGACTTGGCCATAATAAGATTTACCAACTGTAGGTTAAAAAAAAAAAAAAAAGCTTCGATTGAAAGCCAAGTATGCGTATTCTGTTTGTAGAGCAATCAAACCGCGGCAGCGAATGGGCTTCTGCCATGGCATGTATACATTAACCGATGCCTGCTGAGAAGCCCTCCCTTGTCCCCCCTCGATGAGTAGACTCTTCCGATGCAGCTTCGGTGAACAATTCACGCTGGGTGGTCATGCTTGCCCGGGGAAGGGTGGACGCACACGCTTGAGAATACATATGAGTACATATCTGAATCGACGGCACTTGCGGACCTATCGAAGTCGCAACTGATCACTTGAAAGACTGTTTAATTCTTGCCGGACCAAATGCTGCGGATTGGGAGTCCAGTCATCCGTACAGTCCGGTACGGTGAAAGGAACATTGCGCGACTGACTCGCGCAGAGATGACAGTGGGGATGGCTATAGTAATAGAGTTGCGGGCAGCTTGGTACTCGTAGGGTGGACTAATAGTCCACCAAGCTCATCTCACTTGTATAAATAACCAGCTGTAATGGAGAATAGATGAAATCCCAAATGTAACTCTCTGGCCATTGCAAAGTCTGAAAAGGGTTGGTTGTGTGACGTCCATTCCGTTGTCAGGCTTGTATGGGGGCAATCGTCGATGCGTGCGTGTCGTCCTGCTGATAATCTGCGATGCCACCACACTCGGGGGCGTCGGGCCCACATTCTCCGGTGGGATGGCCCCAAGGGGAGGGTCGTGGGTTAGATTTTAGGGTTGGGGGTTTAAGCTTTGCCCCTAAAACACCAGACAAGCATCAACGGAGTCGAACGTGTCGCAAATGTAATCCAACTTGCCAAAATAGTCGCTAGTCTTCAATCACGTGCGCATTTCTCCCGCAAACTCCGGCGGGCCGCTGACTCTATGTACAGTGTGCTGCAGTTAATCCCGCGCGCGCGTGTCGCTTGGCAGTCCGCCCGCTTAGCTCGCGTCGAAGATCTTGGCAGAGAGAAGCTGAATAGAGTAGGGTACCTGGGGTAGAGCAGAGCAGAGCAGATTTTGAACAGCGATAGAATAGATGGCGGCATATGAGGAGAAGAAAGATGACGGGCAGACAGGCGGGCACAAATAAGGGGATGGATGGAGTAGTCAAGGGGGGGAAAGGAAGGCTCAAAGACGAAGAAGGCTAGAAAGCTTACACCGTACGGTTGACTGTTTGACACTGACACGGGACACGCAAAAAAGCCCGGGTTGAAGAGGATGGAGAGCTAATTACCTACCTACCTACTCACACTCCCACTCTGAGTCTTGTCTCACTATCCCTCTCGCTCTCACCTCACGTCCCTTTCATTCCGCCCTAACCGCCTTCCCGCCCTACTGAGGACCGCCGTCGGCGATGGTCGCCGAAGCAGACAGCGCACCGTGCTCCAACCAACTCCTTTTCCTTAGGTTTTCCTCTCTACACTAATGACAACCCTGCCAACCCGCGAGTCCAACTGAAATCTGCAGTTCATCTTCCCATAGTTTCTCGTAAACACCATCACGCTTCGCTTAGAATACTCGGCTGCATCTGTGGTTGCAGCGGCGCCCGATTGTCGTAGCACATCAAAAAGAAGAAAAGGGGAGGGAAAAAAAAAGGCTCCGTATCTTTCCCACCTACCCCCCCCCCAAAAAAAGTATGGAGCAGAGCCCCGAAGCGCAGCAGCACTCATCACCAGACGGACAAACGGCCAACCACGGGTCCGACGCACTTCCGAGGCCGCGCCCCTTGGCATGCACTCCATGCCGGCGCCGTAAGGTAAGAGGTTGACCTTTCTCCCCCCTGCCCCCCTTCACAGGATGTCGGTAGCATGCCCTGGATTCTCAGTCTTCGGAATAAAGCGAGCGAGAGAGAGAGAGAGAGAGAGAGAGAAACAGGAGTAGGGGACATGCCCGACTAGCTGGCGGGATTGATGAGCAGCTAACTGATGAGATGACTCGTCACTGAAACGACAGATTAGATGTGATCACAAGACACCAGTCTGTTCCAACTGCGTCAGGTACGGCTTGGAATGCGCCTGGCCCGAAGGCCGTCGCTCATCAGGACGCCGCCAGAGACCGTAAGTCGCTAATTACCATCCTTCCTTCACCTTCAATCTCACATACCATGGAGCGAGAGTGAGAGGGTAAGAGAGAGGGGGAGGGGTTTGGTTCATGTGACCCTTATCTCCGACGATGCTTAGCTTACCTGATGGCTGCTGACACACTCGCCATGTCGCTGGGTCCAACAGACTCTACGAAGATGTAGTCTCGAGACTGGCTCAGATGGAGAAGCTGGTGGAGGAGCTCCAATCCTCAAAGCCAGAGCAGGAGGCACCAGCAACCGTGTCACCCCGACCGGCGCCAACGTCGTCGTCGATACAGCAGTCTCCCTTGCCGAGGCGAAAGGCCAGCAGTGCGAGCCCTTCGTCGGGTAACCCGGACTTTCATCCCTCGCCGCCGTCGGTCACATCGTCGACAAAGTCGAGGCCGTACTATATCGGAGGCCCTGATGACAGTTCGGTCGTCGCAGCAGGTACTGAACATGACCTTGCGTCCCTTCAGGTATACACCCTATGCACAATCATCTTAGCTGACGGTCGTTCTTCACCAGGCACCTCTTCTCTGCTTTCAGCGCAAGGCGTGGCCCAGATTGAGCTTCTCATTGGAGACGCTAGATTCACCAATGCTCTGTATAGTTTACGGACAAAGGTTATGGATCTACACCAACAACCATTCTTGAGCCCTGCCGATCTAAACAACCCCTTACCTCCTAACCATGTCATCATAGACTGCGTCAACGGTAAGTCACTGCACCAATCAATGCTGCATGCCCCATCCGTGACAGGCGGTGCCGTCCCAAATGTAGAAAATGCCGCTGAACTCGGATACCAGAGTATCTCACGATGTGGAACGAGGTCGTGCGGATCTTCCAGGAGCACGAGTTGCGAGACGCGCTACGGTCCTACACCCAAGGCCAGCCTTCTGCCGACCCAGGTTGGCTGATGGCCCTCAATGCCATCCTGGCACATATCATCCGCGACAGGAATTGTATGCGGAACAAGGAGGAGTACCAGAAATACATCTACAATGCCCTCGGGATGGTTCCCAACATCATCCTACGCACGCCGACGCCCATGACGATAGGGGCACTTTTGTTGACTGTGAGCCCAAGTGACCTTTCAAGAGAATCGCCTCTTGGTCACTTGTTCAATGCGACTGACCGTCCCCGCAGGTCGATTACTTCAACTTCACGTCCGAGAATCACATCGCCATGAGTCTCATGGGCCTCACTGTACAGCTCCTTATGATGGCGGGCTATCACCGCCTCGAGGAACACTCACCCCACCCGGACCCGCAGATCGACCCCGTGAACCGCCTCCACCGTCGCCGCCTCTTCTGGCGAGCGTACATCCTCGACCACGACCTCATGCTACGGATGGGTAAGCCCCCGCTCATCAGCAACGACTTCCTCCTCGACCTGCCCGAGGAGCACCCGGCAGACGGCTACGGCATATACTGCTACCCTGACGGCGTGACGCTCAACTTTTTCCGCCAGCAGGTCCGCCTCGCCCAGATCCAGGGCCACATTGCCGCTGCGCTGTACTCCCGCATCGACACGCCGCTCGCCGAGCTCGAGGCCGAGATCCGCCGCCTCGATGCCGAGTTGCAGGAGTGGCGCGAGAGTATCCCCCCCATGTTCCGCGCCGAAAACGCCGAAGCGCTGCTAGACGGCGACTATCGCAGGATGGCGCACCTGACGGTGCTCCACTTCACATATTTCCAGCTCGTCGTGGCCATCCACTCGGCCGCTTTCAGGTTGCCTTCGCTGGGGGATCAGGAGGGCACAGAAACCATCGACATAGGCCCGAGTCTCGCTCTATGCGTGGGTGCGTCGCGCGCCTCCATCTCGCTCCTGAATTACCATCAGGTTGGCCGTATCTTCACACCGTGAGTAGACAATCTACATCATGACAGGCTCACGTCGCAACTCGCTGACACCGCCGTCCAGGTTCCTGCTGTATCAAGTTGCCTGGAGCGTAGACATCCTCTTTGTCAACATCATCCAGAACAGGACGAACCCCCGCGCGCATCGCGACCTTGAACTCATCCGCAACCTCATCGGCTTCTTCGAGAAGTACGACCCGCTGCACCAGTCGGTGGTGTCGTACCACACCATCAAAGTCATGGCCGACGTCGCCGCCTCCGTCCTGGCAAACACCCCAACGCTGCCGCCGCACATGCTCCCCGCCCCCCTCGGGCCCTCGCCCATTCCCGAACAGTCCCCACAAGCCGCTCCGTCGACGGCGGGGGTACCCGTGGGTGCCTTCTCGTCCCTGATGGGAGGAGCTGGACCGGTCGGCAGTGGCGGTATCAGTAGTGGTGGCACTGCCGACATGTTGCGCTCCATGACGACTCTTTCCATGTCTGACACGCAGCACCAGGGCTTCATGGGCATCGCGGGGGAGCCGATGCAACCTAACGAGAGCCAGTTCTTTCCAGGTTTCGTAAACATGGCTGCCGACTGGCGGCTGCCCATGGATTTCCAGCCGGAGCTGTGGCAGTATGACAGTGTTTTGACTAACCAGTTTCCCAACCAAAATGTAGAATAACCCGCAGTTGTTGGACCAGAGCTAGAGAGGCAGGCTTTATTTTCTTCTTTTCCCTCTTTTCTCTTTTAATTCCTTCTCTACGAAATTGTAAGCGTTCCTCTGCCCCTTGGAGTAATCCGCACCTCCGTGGAAATGCACCCCCTATCGATAGTGGGAGAAACAAAGTCCGGGGTAAACAAGCAATCGTGACGTCAGCCCTCTCCTGCCGGGCTTGTCGGTTTCACGTTTTCCACCCTTTGACCACCAGAGTTTCCTCGGAACCCGAACGACAGAAACCGGCAAGTGCGACCGACGCCGGCACTTCTTCGCCTTGGTCTTCCTCTCCTCTGCTCCCCTACAAAGACCAATCTCGTCAACAAGGCTTTAGGCCAAAATCCTTGCGCACGTCTGTTTTTCCTCTTTCTGGAATTGACAGACCCCGACCTCTTACACATACGCCCCTCCTCGATCCCGATTTCTCCCTTCAGCACATTCCTGCGTTGCCGCCATGGCCCCTGGTGCGACATCTATATTCAGCTCCATTCTGCGCCCTCTCGTCCGACTATCCCCCCCTCCCTATCGACGATATCAACACCAGGACTTCCATTGCGGTCACGACGGTTTCCCCATTGTGCCGTCTTCTGAACTGGCTTCGGGGTCAAAGCAACATCGGCCTACCTCACGATGGTATCAGAGGAGAAGGCCTCAACCGAGGACAGGAAAGAACGGTCGGCGACGCACCCGCCCAAGACGTTCAGGGAACGCTTCCTCCACTCGCTGCCCTACTACACAGGGCCTTACGGTGTGGGTTTTATCGAGATCGAGGCGCCAGTCCGGCATCCACGTGTTTTTTCCGAGCTCAGGCGCGACAATGTGCCGTTACTCAGGCTCGACACCGTCCTGTTCGCCGTCTACTACCCGTGCGCTCTCAAGACCGAGCCGGACGACCACATCGCCCCTGAGCACGGCCATGGGGGAAAGGGCAAGAAGAAGAAGAAGGCCGGAGAAAAGGGGCCGAAGCTCTCACGGGTCGGTTGGCTCCCGCGCCCACGGGTCCTCACATGCAAGGGCTATGCAAAGTTCTTCAGCGTTCCCCACCTGCCGGTAACTGCCTACATCGCCTCCACGTCCATGTTCACCAAGCTCCCGGCGTTGCGCAATGCAAGGCTTGCGGAACACTGGCCGGAAGATATGCTGGGCGACGAAGGGCCGGCCGGGCGAGCGGCGCGTAATGAGGAGTCGAGTTCCAGCACCAAGCCGACATTCCCCGTCATCATCTTCAGCCACGGCCTCGGGGGTTCCCGGATGAGCTACAGCTCCATATGTGGAGAGCTGGCAAGCTACGGGTTCATCGTCGTTGCCGTGGAGCACCGGGATGGGAGCGGTGCCAGGACCTACGTGAACCTCACCGAGAGTCGAGAGGTGTCCGACAGCGACTCCTCGGTGGCCCAGGCATACATCAAGAGCGTGAGCGCCAAGAAAATTAAGAACAAGAAGAACAAGGGCGCGCAGAGCGATCAGCACTACTGCGTCGACTACCTCTTCCCCAAGGACAACGCTCAAGACACGGCGCCGCACAACGCCCGCGGAGTCGACACCGAACTGAGGACCGCCCAAATCGAGATGAGGGTGACGGAAATGGAGGAGGCGTACCGCATTCTTGAGTACATCAACAGCGGCCGGGGACACGAGGTCGAGGCCATGAACCTGAGAAGAAAGGGCAACGTCGCTTCTAGTTCCAAAGGCTTGACGGGGGTTATGTGGGAGGACTGGAAGGACAGGATGTTCCTTGACAACGTGACCATCATGGGCCACTCATTCGGCGGGGCAACCACTGTTGAAACCTTGCGGACGGAGTCGCTCACCTGGGTCGGGCAGGGCATCATCCTCGACGCATGGGGGCCGGCCACGCCCCAGGCGGGAGACGACGCTCGACATCGCATCAAAAAGCCGCTCCTGTCAATAGGATCCGAGGCCTTTATGCACTGGCAGGAAAACTTCGATAGGCTCGTCGAAATCTGCAAGGAGGCGCGGGCAGAGGATGCGCTCACATGGATGATGACGATCCGTGGATCGACCCATCTCTCCCAGACCGACTTCGCCATTCTGTATTCGACCTGGATGGACTTGCTGATGAAGACTCTGGTCAACCCCCTGAGAGCCATTTATCTTACGATATCGCCGTCACTCGAGTTCCTCAAGATCGCCCTGCCGCCGGAGCAGACAAAGTACAACACGTGGGTTGACGAGAAGATTCTCAAAACGACTGAGTCGCCCTCTGAACCACTTAGTGTGGTGACGCATGACCACCGCCCCGACGATCGATGGATTGCCGTCCGCCTCAAGGTGAACAATGAGGCGACGCTGCGGCTGAAGAGCTGGGTACGGCACAAGCGGCGCGTGCTGCTCAGGAAGGGCCAAGGATCGGGGATGCCTTCGGGGCTGATCAACTGGGGTGAGGGCAACGAAGTCTGGATGCACGTGAGTCCGAGACGTGAGTCCGTGGAGAAGCATATGCGGCAAAAAGAGCAGAGGACGAGCGAAAACCAGTCCTAGCTGTCTTTGTGCGTAGGTTGTTGATTAATGTGCTCCGTAAAGTCGCAACTTGTGAGCTGGTTAGACTTGGCGGTGATTTCAGATGTTGGCGTTAAAGAGGGTTCTGGACAGGCGTACCACATCCACGAGTTTGGGACACTTGTGGCATGGAAGTGTACTCTGTATGATAGACAAACATGAATTCCGGTCCACTGACCCAATTGGAGACGTCTATGCTGCGCAGATGCGCTGGGTTGATTCCCAAAGCTATGGGCCCTGGAAAACCGACGATTGATCGACTATTTCTCCGAGCTATCAGATGGCTGGACGGACGGGCGACGGGGAATGCAAGACAACTAGCCACCTATCTGAGTGAGTAATAATTGCCATGTACTTCTGGGAGAGCGTTCTGACGCTGGCCCCGAGCAGAGGCTTGCTTGTGCGTGGTACGCTTCGTCGTGAAAAGACGATGGCTTTGGTTTGAAGTATGGCGCTAAAGGGGGGCTCGGGCTCACGGCCCAGAGAAAACCTGGCCTCAAGGACGCGAACTGGGAGTCTTGGCGCAGACATTGCGATCGATTGGGCCAGGAGTCTTGCTGTTTGTCCGTTCCTAAGCTGGTGGCGGCGGCGGCCAACGAGGTGGCTTGTTCCACCTGCAGGCCAAACGGCTCGAATGTGCTATTCCTGGCATTCAAGTTTCGCTTGCTTGCATTGTCTTTTTCGGATGGAGATCTGGTGTGTGCGCAGCGGTGGTGCCAAGACAGAGAGGGGTTGACAGGGAGGTCGTCGATGGTGGGATGCAGGTCAGTGAGGTGGTGGTGGTGGTGGTGGGGTAAGGGATGTGAGTGGACGGTATGCAGCTGTCAGTTGATGGGATGATGAGAATACGATCTGTGTTTGCCTAGGACGAAGGTTTGATACCTCCCGGTATGTCGGTAATATGCTGGAGATCTCTTGGAGGAAGAGAAGCATACCCTTGATTGGAGAGAGAGAGAGAGGAGTCGGCAGCTACGACGCCTGCCACGTCGTCGTGTCACTAAGTCGCCAAGTCCTCCCATGTCGTCCACAGCTTCAACTTCAGGTGAAGCGAAGGAATGATCTGGTTCAGGCATCGGCCATGAAGAAGAAGCCATAGCAAAAGAACGGCACTTGCTTCCCAGACACTACCTATCCATACCCACCCACCCACCTACCTATCTATTTCCGGTCTACCTAGGTACGTAAAGCTAGAGTACCTACCAAGGTAGCGTAGGTGTGCTTGAAACATATCTAGGCCAACGACCGGAAACACGTGGTGGATCCCTGCGTGGCAGAGGGAAGGGGGAAACGAGCTGTGCTTGGTGTGTGCATGCTTTCTTTCCTGCTGGCAAACAAAACCGTCCTAAGAGAAAGGAAAGCGTGCCTGGATAATCCCCACTCCCAATCGGCCAAGAGAGGGGTCTTCCCGTGCTTCGCTAAGGTGAGGAGGGTCAGGGAGAGAGGGGTGGCGCCTGCAGCGATCCCTTGCCAAGCTGGAGCTCTTCCCAGCGCACCTCCAAGCTCGTATTGTCTGTCGTATTGTCGAGCGGGTTGCAACCACGTCTGCGAGTATGTGTATGCGCATCTGCATCTGACTGGACAGCATCAGTGCTTGAGAACTCACTCGGCTTCATATGGCAAGCGGCATCAGCCATCCGCCCACGCATTCACTGCCGACACGCAAATCGCTCCATTCATTGAGCGGCTCCCTCCTGTGTCGCACCCTGCATCTTACTTCGCTGCTCTTTCCGTCTAGGTGACACCACCAGCCATGACGGAGCGGGATGGACGACAGGCAACGCGCCGATGGCCTGCCCTCCTTCGTATCAGCCGATCTACCTAGTTTACTTGGTCCCCATGATGACATGGCACGGCAAGGAACATCAATATTCGCTGCTGTAGCTATCCCTTCCGAAACGACAGGTCGCGCTGGAAAGACCACACGCTCAGACGCTTCCTGCCCAGCGGTTTTCCTTCCTTCCTTCTAATGCTAGCGGAAACTGCACCAACTGGACCTCCGGCCTGCTGCACCTGTTCTTGAAAACGGCCCCTCACCTCAGACATGCTCGGAGACGGTGAATCCCATCTCACCATAGCCCAGACCTCCATGGGACAAGCTGCCCGTCTGGTCGTCACCAAAGGGGACGGGCCTTTCCTGCAATAGCCTATTCGCCCGCACAGTCTTATATCCCGCCCAACGGCCGTGGCCATGGTCGTGGCTTTTCCATATGGGTACCCGGTGGTCGTATAGAACGGTGCATGGTGGCATTGACCGTGAGGTAACTCGACTGTTCCCCCCCTAATGCTGACCTGAGTTGGTTGCCAGCCAGTTTACCGCGTTGTCGTGGAGAACGTTAGGTAGTCTCGCCTTACCATGCATGTAAACAAGCTCTGCAGTCTGCATGAGGCCGATGCATTCGGGAGGGCCGGGGTCAGCGGTAGTAATAGCAGCAGCAGCAGCACTTATTCTCCGATCCGTGGCTCCAACCTCTCGACCCCTCGCTTCTAGCATCCTGCCTTTTCGCGAAGTCTTGTTACTATTAGTCTCACTGGAACCCCCCCGGTCTCTTCCCAGCCCGCGACCTACTTGCTCTTCCTCTTCGAAATTCCCTTTCCGTCACCAAGACTGTCCCTCGTTGAACATCTCATTCTGTTTTACGGCAACGTGACTTTGTCGTGCTTTCCTTCCTTGTCCCTTGCTTGCCCCGTCAGTAGCTTATTCGATCGTCCGTCTCTTCGCCCCTCGTCCCTTTTTGACCGCTCATTCACCGTCTTCCTCGGCCGCTCCTTCAGCATCGCCACCAGACCAGCCTCGTAACACCCACTAATTCACCACCGCGATTCGTATTCCTACTTTTTTGCCCACGTCACAGACAGTTTATTCGGCAGCCTCTTCGCCGGTCTGTTTTAGCAAACGCCTCACGAAACTCCACGAGAATTATGACAAGCTAGGAACGCCTCCCTCGCTATCGTCTCATCCTCTTTGCGCCAACCCTCAGCCACTATCTATTCCCCATTTTTGACGCCACAACTCCATCCACCACCAAGTACACCCGCCACGAGGTCACGATACCCGACAATGACTGCGAATGCTACTACACGCGGGTCGACCACACCTCGACGTAGCAGACCCAAGCCTGACAGCCTCCAGCAGATGCTGGATTTGGAACATGCCCGAAAGGTACGCCGATCCAACCCTGACCTGAAGCCTCCAACCCCGTGGCACCCACCTCAATTTGGCTATCTTAGCTCCCACCCACTAACATGCCTCATCTCGCAGCTCGAGCGTCTTAAGGCCCACCAGTCCATGCCCGCCTACTTCCATCCTTCTCACCTAGCGTTTCAGCAAGTTTTACGGCAGCATGTAAACGAAGGTCACCCTCCACAGTCTCCGCCGAAACTGAGTCCCTTTCCCGTCATCAATGCTCCGCCGCCCGTGAAGCCTCTCGTCCCATTGCAGTCTCGTCGGAGGGAGTCATCTGTGCAGCTTCCTGCCCACAAGACAGACTTACTGCCCTCGGCTATGAAAGCTTCCCGCCGAGTCACCGCCCTGCCTTCTTTGTCCATCTCGGTGCCGCCTCCCCCCTCAAACACCAAGACGCAAATCGATCGCGAAGCGAACTCCCGCGAAGCGAACTCCAAGGAGTCTGTCGAGCATAAGCACAAGACAGTCACCTTTCTGGACGTTGACGCCCCCGAAGAGCCCACCGCTGACGACGCATCCTCCATCTGCCACTCCCCAAGCTGGGAATCCTTCGGCCAGAACAAGAAGAAGGAGAAGAAGAACGAGGCCAAGATGCGCAGGAAGGAAAAGGAACAGACCGAAAAGGAGGCCAAATCTGTCAAGAAGATGCTAGCCGCCAAGCTAAGCAAGGCTCCTCCGTCGAGGCCTCCCAATGCCTCGAGGTCCATCACAAGCCCGATCACGTCTGCCGACGACCAGCTTCGCTCAGCAAGCGCTCATGCGTTCTACGACCCGCCTCCACCAAATCGTCCTCAGCATACCAGGCAGCGGTCCGACTCGGTGGCGATGCAGATCAAGGCTGCGTTGACTGGTCACAAGTTACCAGTTCAGTCCCAACCTCACGAGAACCACGCTTTCATCGGCGGCTTGAAGCTTGATCAGAAGCTAAAGGCGGCTGAAACTGCAATGCCTCTTAGAAAACCTGTTCCTTTGGCTTCTCTGACGCACCAGAGAGCCAATTCGTTTGGCCCCGAGGTAAAGGTAACGCCACCGGCCTTCACGGCCCCTGGTCTCCCACGGTCATCCTCATACGGACCTCAGACCGAGACAAACAAGCATCAAGGGGATGACGACTTCTCTTCAAAATCAGCACGCGTTTCTTCAATGCATATTCCCTCTTGGTGCCAGCCTCTAGTATCTCCTTCGGCACCGCCTGTACCGGATCTGGGCAACCTCCAGCAGTGGAAACCCCAGGCGGCACAAGCAAAACTTCAAGATCTTGCCGTCGACAATGACGACGCCGAGCTGGAGCCTCCCAGCGCACTCGGTGAATTTGTGCTCGAACAAGAGCGAGGTCGAAGGAGGGAGAGCTATGTCCACCAGTCCCGCCAGCAAAGCCGGGAATCATCCGTCACTGGCTCCAAAGATGAGGTTCGTGTGTCGTCTGCCAAGTCTCAGTATCCTCCTCCGGCCAATCGACAACATCAACCTCGGGCGCACCCGTCGTCTTCCGGAAGCAGCCCCCTGGCCGGCAATTTCACGCCGCGTAATGGCTCTGTGACCAGTCTCAACGTTCGCAGTGATCGGTCGCCCCAAACCGAAGACTTCACGCTCACTTTCCGTCTCCCCTATACCCCCCCAGTCCAGGTCAGCCCCAATCAAGGGTCGTTCGATCGTTCAACCTCGCAAGGCCCCCCCCTTTCCAGGACGATGCCGAGGGAGAGGCTTCAGCCCACAAAAGGGGCCACAGTCAGGAGCTTCAGGGATGCGGCCAGAGCAGCTTTACAAAAAGTCTCTAGTCCAGTATCTTCCAAGCCTC